ACTGTTGGTAACATGATACACTAATGCATATTAGTATTGATAGCTATAAACGATATAATTATATATATATATATATATATATATATATATATATATATATATATATATACATTTATTATTTGCAGAAAAACTGACTTGGAACAGTATCAACGGTATATGGTATATACCATGGCAAACATTGATAATATCAATAAAAAACACGTTTTACAATTACTGAACACTGAAGATATATGAAAAAAAAAACATATTCTCTTTCTTCACATCGCAAATCAATAATCCATTTTCTACTTAGAGTACCGTAACTGAAAGGAACTATGACACCCCGTTATCTCAGTGACTTAAATGTGAACGCGAATGATACGCCTTATCGAGCGCTTTCGATATGATTAGACAGATGATAGATGACAGATGTGGCACTATGATTATGTTCGTTTTTTGCAATTTTTTTCACTAATTTCATTGATACATTGGCCTCGTGGTTGAGTTTTACAGATATACGGGATATCGTGAATGACACGTTTTTAAGCACGTATGCCTAATATCTTTATTTCACGTATCCTTAGGTGTAAATCTATGTAATGGTATCAATATACATTTGTTAACTGAGCTGATATTTTCGTTTTTGTTGAAGGAGGTTAACAAATGGAACTATAATGATTCTTAAAAGAGAGTCAAACAAGGAGGGAAGAAAGAGTAAACACGCGGATAGGAAGTGATCACGAATATGCAAATTCGTGTGTCTTCTTCTCCCGTTACTTTGGAAGTGAAATCATTCTTTAGAGAGGCAAACATGTGAACAAATCAACGAGAAAACACACGAATAGGAAGAAAACACACGAATAAGAAGAAAACACACGAACATACAAATTCGCCTATCTTCTTTTTCTTCCCTTCGTCATTTTGTTTACACTTTGTTCAGCACGAGTCATGTACAGAAGCGAGGATGAAATGGAGTGTTGAGACATTGTAGGAAAGTGTCAAAGGCAGAGCGTGTGTCGCTGCATTACGCAAGGCAGAGTAGTGACCTCCCCCCCCCCTATCTCGCTTATAACCTCACTACCTCTCACCTATTTTGGTGTTTGAAATGAAGGCATTTAATTAAATTTCCGTTTATTGGTTTCTCTCCATGATATATATCTTTTTTTTGGGTGGAGGGAGAGGTGATGGAGCTCTTATTACACCGTGTGCTGAGTTCTAATTAGTTTGTCTATTAAACATTATTTTCCATTTTATCGCGTTCAATATACTGTTTAGAAATCATTTGCCAGAGGACGGACCCAGAAAGTAAGCTGCACGTGCTGACATTCATACTACTTAATTTCCAAGGCGGTTTTAATTAAGCGATGTATTCATTAATTATTGTTCGTACCCATACTAACAATACGAACACTATATGAACTATATAAACTGATATTCATATATATATCATGAAACTTGTCATCGTGTGGGTTATATTTCTGCAACAAAAGCAGCCAACTTTTTTTTTTAATTCACTCACAGCAGCTTCGTATAATCTTCCCTGGAACAGCTCACAGAAGAAGGCAGTTGATATTGATGGAGATATGACCATGAACAAAATATCAGATCCTAATTTCTTGCACGGATACTCAGGTATCACAATGGTGTAATATCCGCCTTGATAAGGAAGACGGCAACCCAGTGCAAATGGCAAATGACACGTGACACGGTGATTTTAGACCAAGATTACACGTGGCGTGTGTGACTTGGTTTACAGGATGACATTATTGGAGGTTGACGATGTTGTCCAAAGTCTTAAGTATTTGTGACAATTATTTGTCTCACTTGGAGGAATAAAGTTGATGACTTCGGAGCATATAAAAAACATTTTGATGATTTTACCATTGAGAATATTTTTATTGTACCGAAGTGACGTTGTATCATACAAAAAATTGTAATTCCTCAGTTTGTACAATGTTAGGTTGATTGTTAATTGTCTGGAAGAGGCGTCGTTGTGCACGAGAGGAGGCACACATCGCATTGTTTCCTCCTGCAAGACCGCAAGTGAACAAGGCTTTCATTGAGAGGGTAATCACACGCGTTCCTGCAGAAACAATGCGATGTGTGCGTGCTCTCTTGCACAACTCTGCCTCTTCCAGTCAATTGAATAACTAACATAACATTTGTACAAACTGGGGAGTTCCACGTGTTTGCATGATACATCACCTCAGTACAATAACAACACTCTCAGTGGTAGAAATATCAAAATATTTTTCCTCACAAGAATTTTCAGGATATTGGAACAAGCTTGCCTCACATTTTGCCCCAAAGTCATCCACTTTATTCCTCCAAGGGAAAAATGGATAATTATCGCAAGATTAATTAGGACTTTGGACAATAATAACATCGTCAACCTCCTAAACTGCCATCTTGTGAACCGAGTGACACGCGCCACGAACAACCTTGGTCTGAAATAACCGTGTCACGTGTCATTTGCCACGTGCAAAGTGCCATACTGGTGTGAAAGCGGCTTTATGCGAACACGACACAGGCAGCCTTCTCTGCCGCCTAATCTCCCTCCCTTTCCCTTTTTTTCTCTCCATTTTTTCATGTACGATTTCTTTCTTGTAAGATTTTTTTCGTTTAGTGAGTGAGTGAGTGAGTACGTGTTACATCCATTCGTAGGCTGCTGCTTTGGTTGGTCGAGGCATGTTAGGTAATGCTATTGCTTATGTTATTGTGATTCTTGACTATGTTCATGTTGAAGTCGTTTTTATTGTTCATATGTTATTGTTTTGGGGGATTATTGGTTTTGATATCATTTTACATTTGTTTTTTTGAGGTTGCACAGAGTGACTGATGCCGTCGTGACATCACTGCGAAGCTTCGTGATGTGATGAGTCACTGCAGCTGCGTCTACTGCTATCCTTCTTCACATGACTGTTTGGAGTTTTTTTTATCAAAGGAAGGAAAATACTTCTTTCACATCTTAATTACTTTGTTGGTTCTTCTGAGAGTCTTGGGTCATACAGGAT